GGAAACGAGTGAAAGCCGACGTGGGGGAGCCCTGGCTGGGCTGTGTGCGCGCGCGCGCGTCGGGCTGCTGCAACAGACTTGAACGCTCATGGTTAAAAGCTTCAGGTCAGAGTCACTCCTCCACGACGAACTTTCTAATCCTCTGGCTCCCCACAACCGCCAGCCCATCCTCTTGAGCCCACAGAAGTGAAAGTTTGGGGAGGGATGAATGATTCAGCATGCCTAAAACTAACAAGCGCGCTCTCTCTTTTTTTGAGTTGGAGTCTCACTCTGTTGCCCAGACTGAAGTGCAGTGGCCGCTCCTGGCTACTGCAGCCTCGACCTGCTGGGCTCAGGCGATCCTTCCGCCTCAGCCTTTCAAGTAGCTGGAACTACAGGCGCGCACTACCACGCCAGCTAATTTTTTGATTTATTGTAGAGATGAGGTCTCGCCAAGTTGCCCAGGCGGGTTCTCGAACTCGCGGGCTCAGGCAATCCACTCACTTCAGCCTCCCAAGGCGCGGGATTACAGGCTGAGCCACTGATCCCGGCTAAGCTCTCTTTTTAAGAGTCTGGGTTTTTGTTGTTGTAGTTGTTTTTGAGTGGGAGTCTCCCTTTGTCGCCCAGGCTGAATGCAGGAGCACGCTCATGGCTACCACAGCCTTGACCTGCTGGGCTCAGGCGATCCTGCTGCCTCAACCTTTCAAGTCGCTGGAACCACAGGCGCGTGCCACCGTGTCCAGCTAATTTTTTGATTTACTGTAGAGATGAGGTATTGCCATGTTGTTCAGGCTGGCTCGAACCCATGGGCTCAGGCAATCCTCTCTCCTCCACCTCCCAAAGTGCTGGGATGACCAGCGTGAGCCACCGTGCCCAGCATTGTTTATCATTTTCTAAGAGACAAGGTCTCACTGTGTTACCCAGGCTGATCTGGAACTCCTGGCCTCAAGCCATTCTCCAACTTTGTTCTCCCAAAGTGTCCCCAAGCATTTACAGCATAAAATCATTCTTAGCTCATAGATGGTATAAGAATAAGCAATGGGCCAGATGTGACTTGGGGGCCTCCTAGGCTGAGTCTGGTCTTGTCATCTTTTTTTAATTTGAATCAGCGTCTCACTCTGTCCCCCAGGCTGGAGGGCAGTGGCACACTCACGGCCACCACCTGCTGGGCTCAGGCAATCCTTCCGCTTCAGCCTTCCAAGTAGGCAGAACTACAGGCACATGCCACCATGCCCAGCTAATTTTCCATTTATTTACTGTAGAGATGAGGTCTTGCCAAGTTGCCCAGGCTGGTCTCAAACCCCTGGATTCAGGCAATCGTCTCACCTCAGGCTCCCAAAGTGCTGGGATTATAGACTTGAGCCACCACACCCAGTCTAAATCTGTTTTTTATCCTTCCTCTTGCAAATGTACTGCATATTTTTTATAGATGTTTCCTTGTATGTGAGTATAATACAGGTTGCTGTTTTTCCTAGTATTTATATTTTTGAATTGCTTTTTAAATTTGTATTTATACCTCATATTCCTTCTCTCTGTTCTTCTCGGTGTGTTCATTGTTCTTCATATTGAATTAAGTGTGTGTGTGTGCGTACATTTTATTATATATTTATTTAGAGACGCGGTCTTGCTATGTTGCCCAAACTCCTGGACTCAAGCAATACTCCTGCCTCGGCCTCTCAGTGCTGGGATTATAGGCATGCGCACCATGCCCAACCTATACTTTAAAAGCATATATAAGCCTGGCTTGGTGGCTCAGCCTGTAATCCCGCGCTTTGGGAGGCTGAGGTGAGTGGATTACCTGAGCCCGCGGGTTCAAGACCCGCCTGGGCAACTTGGCGAGACCTTATCTCTCCAATAAATCAAAAAATTAGCTGGGTGCCTGTAGTTCCAGTACTTGGAAGCCTGAGGCAAAAGGATCGCCGGAGCCCAGCAGGTCGAGGCTGCTGTGGCCAGGAGCGGCCACTGCATTCTAGTCTGGTGAGACTCCAACTTAAGAATAAAAAATAAATAAAAGCATCTATAAAGACTTTTAAAGAAGTATGAGGCCAGGATAGTTTAAAGGAAAAATATTAGCTTCTCACCATCCATATGACCTCATTTCTAAAATTGCTCTGAGAATTACCTACCACTGAAGAACGGTGCTATACTGATTTTCCTTGGCCACCTCCCCTTTCACTTCATGTGTGACAGAAGAAAGGCATTCCTTCCACACACTGAGTGTTTTCTCTTTCATTGAGCTGGGAGGAACCAATTAAAGAATGAGAAGTAATTCAGGATCTGTGTTAAGATGAATATACAGCAAGAGTGTCTGTATTTCCACTGAAAGTTGTTTTGCTCTCCAGCCCACAGGTCCTCGCTACCCTGGGAAGAGACAAGAAGTAAAAGAAGAGAAAGGTTTCAGGACCTGGATATCATTTCTGGGGACACCTTTGACTGAAGAGATTTCTGACTAAAAATTTAGGACATACTCAGAAGAGACAGAGACAGAGTATTCCAGTCATTGGTCATTCCTCACAATAGAAGAAAATGATCAGTGTTCAGGTGATGTTTGTCTGTTTTATTCTATCCTTTATTCCCTACTGGATTTGTAGAAGCCCATACATAATCACTTCAGAGTCTAGAGTGAAATAAAATTTGAATCTAACTCAAATGACATAGCAAGTAGCGTCAGGGATATAGAGTTCATATGATTCCTACCAAATGACTAGAACATAATAACTAGAGGATCCTTTCCATTACATTAGCTGTCAACTTGCATCTGATATCTCTGACAGCCAGTGCAAGAGAATCATGCTGAGTTAGATGATATGCATTGACTATGAGGGGAAAGCAGACAGGTTCCTCAGGAAATGTCATTTCATGATGGTTATGTCTCAAGACAAATGTGATATTCTTCCCAGAATCGATATGGTGAACCATGTTTTGAACTTGCCTTCTGATAAAAGCAGAAGAATTCTTCCTGCTGTTTTGTTTTGTTTTGAGTCAGAGTCTCACTCTGCTGCCCAGGCTGGAGTGCAGTGGTGAGATCACAGTTCACCACAGCCTCAACCTCCTGGGTTCAGGTAATCTTCCTGCCTCAGCCTTCCAAGTAGCTGGAACTGCTCGTGTGCACCACTATACCTGACTAACTTTTTTGATTTTTTTGTAGAGATGAGATGTTCCCCTGTGTTATCCAGGCTGGTCATAAACTCCTGGACTCCAGTAATCCTCCTGCCTCAGCCTCCCAAAGTGTTGAGATTTCACGCTTTAGCTACCACGCCTGGCAGACTGCTGTTTATTACAGGGTTCCTCAGAGACTTCTATGGGAACAGACCAAGCAAACTCAGTGGATACAACGTTTCAGGAGACCAAAGCAAGGTCACTCAAAGGACCCAGCCTTGTATCTGAGCTGATCCAGGAATAAAACCTAGGAAAATGGAAAGAGTACACAGCTTTCTCGTGTCCTAAACAGGTGGCTAAACTGCATTTAGACACATACTTGGCATTAGGGAGTTGCGAGAAGTGTCTGGTAAGGGCTTGAGGTGTTGAGTGCCATGATGTTTGCTTGACAACTTCACCTTGTCTCATAATATACAGAATGCTCCCCCATTTTCAGGTCTAGTTCTTCCCTACTTTTCTTTTATTGCTTTTATTTTTTGTAATTATTCAAATTACTCATGGATTTTAAAGAAAAAAAATTCTAATGACGATGTACACATTGGCAATAAAAAGTAAAATTTCCTCTTTATAACTTTCTAATCTCCTCATGCTATTTCAACAAATGTTTCATAGTATATACCAGCTCACTGAACTGTGTGTACATCTATGTATCTAGGTGTATTATGTGTATATTTTATTTACATATGTGTACATAAACACATTTGTCTTTTTTTTTTTTTTTGAGTCACTCTGTCGCCCATACTGGAGTGCAGTGGCCGCTCCCGGCCACTGCAGCCTCGACCTGCTGGGCTCCAGTGATCCTTCTGCCTCAGCCTTCCAAGTAGCTGGAACTACAGGCACGCGCTACCATGCCCGGCTGATTTTTGGTTTATTGTAGAGATGAGGTCTTGCTAAGTTGCCTAGGCGGGTCTCGAACCCGCGGGCTCAGGCAATCCACTCACCTCAGCCTCCCAAAGGCGCGGGATTACAGGCTGAGCCACCGAGCCCGGCTTGTCATGATTTTTTTTTTAAGCTTCAATGGAATCATACTCCAAAAAACATAATCTATTGGCCACCTTAGCATTTAAAGGAATACTGACTGCAATCAACTGAAGAATATTAACTATATAAAATTCCATTTGTCTAAAGTCATACTTGAAAACATTTGTTAAATGGTGCAAGGCATTTAAATGAGTGCCTCCTGCATAGTGACTGACGTTGAATAATTTATGCCAACATTTTAAAATATCACATTACTGAACTGTATAATTTTCAGTGATTCAGTATTCTTTTACCTCATTTTGCATCTTCCTCATCATGGGTAGCTTGAAATTCTTCGTATTTTCTGTTACTTTGTCTCTGCTTCAATTTTCAGTTTTTAAAAAATGTATATTCCAGTTCACTAATTATCTCTTCTGTATATCTGATAACCTTTCTGTTAATATATATGCATACATGTTCTGTATACATAGACATGTATTTACACACGTGTAAATATCCATATGTGTATATATATATATTTAATATGTATTTCAAAAACTTTTCCCAGTGTGACTAATCTTCAATAGTTTCTTTTGCTTTCTGTATATTTCTGTTTTTAAAAGTTCATTAAATAATCAAACACTTCTATAGTGTTCTGTTATTCTAACATACCGAATATCTTCATGTTTTAGCCTAGTATTAACTGGGAAGGCTTATGGTGAGTGTAGCAATCTATATATCTGGATGTCACTAGCATATAATTTCTTGACTAGTCAATAATACTGAAGTTAAAAATTATACATAAAATCTATTTTTTACTGAGAGGATTTGATATAAAACTTTAGACTTTATTGAGTGAATCGGGTACTGTGCACTTACAGAATACTTAGAGACTCAATGACAGTATTAAAAAACACAATAGTCCTATAAATGCATGCAGTCTATATAGTTAATATGAGCGGGACAACTTCTTCACTTTGCTTGTATGCCACTTCATATTCAGAGGGCTCTGTTTTTACAGGAGTTGCTGACATTGGAGGATGTATCTGTGGAATTCACTTCGGCAGAGTGGCAGCTTTTGGACCCTGCTCAGAAGGACCTTTACCGAGATGTGATGTTGGAGAACTACAGCAACCTGGTGTCAGTGGGTAAGGACAGCTGCCCTCTATCATAGGAGGGTACCTCATCTGTGACCTGTTTTCTTTTCTTTTTTTTTTTTTGAGTTGGAGTCTCACTTTGTCACCCAGACTGGAATGCAGTGGCACGCTCCTGACCACCACAGCCTTGACCTGCTGGGGTCCAGTGATCTTTCCGCCTCAGCCTTTCAAGTAGCCAGAACTACAGGCGCACGCTATCACGCCTGGCTAATTTTTTTGATTTATTGTAGAGATGAGGTCTCGCCAAGTTGCCAAGGCGGGTCTCGAACCCGTGGGCTCAGGCAATTCACTTACCTCGCCCTCCCAAAGCGCGGGATTACAGGCTGAGCCACTGAGCCCGGCTAATGGTCTGTTTTCTTAGCTGCTTACACTTAGAAATCACTTCAATGCTCTAAATAGATTTTTAGTGCATTCTCTGGCTCCTGATAAAAGGATATGCAGTCACCCTTTGGTATCTGAGGGTAATTGGTCCCCTGATCTTCCATGGATACAAAATCCACGGGCACGCAAATCCTTTAAACAGAATGCCATGCCGGGTATGGTGGCTCACGCCTGTAATCCCAGCACTTTGGGTGGCGGAGGTGAGAAGATTGTCAAAGTCCAGGGGTTTGAGACTATCCTGGAAAACTTGGGGAGACCTCATCACTACAATAAAAAAAATTAGCTGAGTGTGGTGGCGCTTACATGTAGTTTCAACTATTTGAAAAGCTGAGGTGGAAGGATCACCTGAGCCCAGCAGCTGGAGGGTGAGGTGGCCATGAGCGTGCCACTGCACTCCTGTCTGTGTGACAGAGTGAGACTCTTCCTCCAAAAAAAAAAAAAATCATAGTATTTGCACATAATCTCCACAGATCCTCCTGTATACTTGAAGTCATCTCTAGATGGCTTATGATAATTAATACAATGTAAATCCTATGTAAATAGTTGTTATAGTGTATTTTTTATTTGAATTCTTTTTTAATTTTATTTTTTTAAATATTTCCCATCTGTGGTTGGTTAAATCTCAGTGTGAAATCTGTAGATTTGAAGGGCTGACTGTGATCTACCCACTCCTGAAAGAAAAGCGTCTACTTTGCAGATACGAAAACTGTCTAGTGACTTAAAGGTAACATTCCCCAATGTTACATACTCCAGCCCCATTCATTGTGTCTAAATTTTCTATCATTTCCCATAAACAGGTTATCAAGCCAGCAAAACGGATGCACTTTCCAAGTTGGAACGAGGAGAGGAACCATGGACAGTAGAAAATGAAATGCACGGTCAGATTTGTCCAGGTGAGTGAGGATAGCAAGATATATAACTGAAGAAGTCATGTTATATTCAGTCAGAGAAGGATGTTGGGTATTGAGGATACAGAAACAGTGCCTCCATGTATCTTTCTCCTCATATCAGAACTTTTCTATTAGGTATTTAGAGGGAGATGTATTCTTTTCTGAGATCTGACTCCTGCTTATTTTATCTTACATCTTGGTTCTTGTTTGCCTATTTTTATTCTTTCTCAGCTTCTATAATGTTCCCTTTCTTTATATCCTGTTATGGTGTCTCTGTCTGTTCCTTCTACCTATCAGTTCTTGCTTCATGAAGACCTTTGAATTAGTCACTGTTGTCTGACTATTGCACTTTCCTGCCCCATTGAAAAATACTGATTTCCTTTCCTAACACTCAACCCTACCTTGTATATTGTGCGCTCACATTAAGCTGTTTTCCCATTGTGTGTTTATATGGTTCTTAAGCTTATTCCCTCTCCACCCCCAACTCTGAGGCTTTCAGTGGTTCCATTTTCTCTGCTGTTATCCTAATCCTTATAATTTTTCATTCTTATGAGCTAACTTTCCATTCTCTGGATGAAACTCCCAAAACGACATCTCCATCATATTATCTAACATACATTTTAGCTCCACATATGTTATCTTTGGCAGCTGGACTATGACTTCCATATTTCCTGCATGAAGAGTAGGAATCAAGCCGGGCTCAGTGGCTCAGCCTGTAATCCCACACCTTGGGAGGCTGAGGTGAGTGGACTGCCTCAGCCCACAGGTTCGAGACCCGCCTGGGCAACTTGGCGAGACCTCATCTCTACAATAAATCAAAAAATTAGCTGGGCGTGGTAGCGCGCACCTGTAGTTCCAGCTACTTGGAAGGCTGAGGTGGAAGGATCGCAGGAGACAGCAGGTCGAGGCTGCGGTGGCTGGGAGCGGCCACTGCACTCCAGTCTGGGCGACTGAGTGAGACTCCAACTCAAAAAAAAAAAAGAAAAAGAGTAGAATCATTTTCTCTTTATAAAACAGTTTTTCCATCTTACTTTAAGGTTACATTCTCCTGTAGTACAATATATCATCAGCCCTGTCCATGCTGATGTTATAGTGAATGTCCTCTACTTATAGAGTTCTCTTGTTAAAGGTCTCTGCTGTTTCTGTTGACTATTTAAAAGGAAAGGATTGTTTTACATCCTACATCAGCTCTAGCCCAAGCCAGGTCATAACATATGTCTGTCTCAGAGTTATTCTTCCTTTGTACATTTATTTTCTGATTTTCTTTGCATACAATATAATTTGCCATTTACATTTACAATTCAGTGTGTGTAGTTTATGAACAGTTATATAACCATCACAACTAATTTTGGAATTTTCAGTGCATCAGTTGAAGAAAAAAACCCAAAAAACAAAAATCATGTCTTTTCAAGCTCCCAGCACTAGGCAACCACTAATCTACTTTTAATCTGTATAGATTTGCCCATACTGGACATTTTATATGACTAGATTCATAAAATATATGGTCTTTTGTGTCTGGCTTTTTTCATTGAGTCTAATGTTTCTGAAAGTTCTTCTATATTTCACCATGCGTCATATTTCATTTCTTTTTACTGTTGAATAACATTCTATTGTATGGATATACACATCTAATTTATTCATTTGTTTACTGTTGGATATTAGGATTGTTTCCACCTTTTGGCTTTTATGAGTCATGCTACTATGCACATTTGTATACAAGTTGAGTTTCATAAATGTATGTTACTTTCCTTGAGATTCTACCTAGGAGTGGAATTCCTGGATCATATGTAATCCAGGAGGGGTCCAAATGCAGTGCTTCTGGTCATCTTCTCCCTGTGAACTCACAGATGGCATCATATCTTTTCCATAGTATGTATAAGTAATAATTCAGAATATTGCCAATGAGGGAAGCCCACTTGAGACTTGCGGCCAGAGTTTTTACTGGGGCTCAATCACATACTCCCCACGTGGCTGACCTTAAGTCTCCAGCCTCTCCCAGAAATCAGGCTAATACCTAGAGTGTCCATCTCCTCCAAAGGTTGGAACTGATGTGGCATGGCCTAAAGCCTCTATCGTAATCACACTGTTAGATGTTCAGTCAGCAAAGCTACCAGGCAAACAAAGACTACTATGGGACAGGACAGTCCAGGGACCTAGAGGTTACCTCCCAGTAGCTAAGCACAAACACTAGACCTCTCTTTGGGGGAAATTAGTTCTTCACCAGAGATTACTGTAAAGAATGAACAAAGAAGGAATTAATTTAGAAATATAGAGGACACAGAGCATCTGGTGTTACGGTCAGAAATGGAATGAGAGTATGATGTACATGAAGTACATCTTGATTCTGAATGAGGAAGGTGATGACATGGTTTAAGAATGAAGGTGCGAGGCCAGGCGTCTTGGCTCCCAAAATCCCACATTTTGGGAGGCCAAGGCAAGAGGACTGCTTGAGCACAGAAGTTAAAGACTGCCTAGGCAACATAGTGGGACAGCGTCTCTATAAAAAATTCAAAAAATTACCTGAGCATAGTGGCACGCACATGTAGTTCCAGGTACTTGGGAGGCTGATGCAGAAGGATCACTTAAGCCCAGGATCTGGAGGCTTTGGTGAGAGTGATTGTGCCAGTGCACTCCAGCATGGCTGGTAGAGAACCAGACTGGAAAAAAAAATTAAAAAAAGAAGGTATGAAATAGGAAATGTGGTTCCAGGCTATCAGGTTGGCTATCAGAAGACTGGCCAAATACAAGCCAGTGTTAGGTAGTTTGTGTCAGGAAAATAATGGGGCAGAAACACAGATAGGTGGAATATTCATAGTAATGTAAACTCTTTTGACAGACTGAGTGTTTTGATTTTATAGATGAGTAATTGAGATCGCTTAGCTTTATTTTTTGTCAAAAAACATCTTAGTAGTCTTACCTTTCACCTATACCTTTCACCTAGATGACAGCAGCATAGCAATAATAAGGAACAGCTAAGTGTTTTAAGAAAAACTGAAGGTAAAGGTGACAGAACCTGGTCCAGAAGGAAGATATTTCTCCTTTAGAACAGCCTCACTGATGCTGAGACATAAATGTAGCACTCCTGGTGGCAAGATGAGAAAACGGTGCATTAGGGATGCTGAAATGAGAAAAATTGGATATGACTTCTGTACTGTATGTGATTGAAGGTTTTCATTTCCCATGTAGCAGCACATAAGCTTCTGAAGATGACTGCACTGTATACTGGCCAGTTGCAAAATTCCCTAGCAATCATTGTTTTCCTATTTCATTATGAATGGAACATCAAATAACACCACTAGACCAAAGAGTGGATGGTTGATTATAGGAATTGTCCACTAAATGTGATGAATGATTTTGCAAATTAGCTTGATGGTAGTTTATGGCTTGAAGGAGGGCAAACATAGGAACAAGATTGCCATGCAAGAGTCTGTCTCAGTTCACTCTAATTCAACTGCTGAGGATCTCAAATTCTTACTTGCCAGGTAACAGGTAAAATGTATTTAGTCTATACACACCTCAGTATGCTCATTTCGATCATCTTTATAGTCAGTGTTTGGTTCCTTTAAGGGCTTAAATCCAAAATTCTAAATGTTGGACTACCTAAAACCTTGGTCTTATACCTTCATCTTTCATTATGTATATTTTCCCAACATGTCATTCAGTCTTCTTTTGTTGAAAAATAGGTATATATTTATTATTTCCACATTGCCTTCTCCATTTATACTTCCAACTTGATTCTTGATGTGTTACTACAAATCTAGTAACCATCTCATAGTTTATGTTTCACAATGCATACTTCATTCTACACATTCTGGACAGCAGTAATATTCCCCCCAACTCATTATGAGATGCTTCCACATACACAGTGGCTCAAGCTATACAGTTAGTAAAGTCATCCTTGACTCCTTACTTTCATTAACATCTCTCCCTATTAAATTCAGCATTTAACCTTGTCTTTTCTTTATGCAAATATATCTTGCTTTCCTTTACCTCTCTCCATCTCCACTGCTCCTTGAAACCACATGTAACAATCTCCAACTCCCTTCTTTTTTTATTCCTTCTTGTTTATTCCATTTTTTCCTAACTAGAATTTAACATCATTGAAAATAAGGCACATTTTATATATCCCAAACACTGGCAGAGTGCCTTGTCCATGGGAGCCATTCAGTAGACATGTGTGGAGTAAATAAATATAACCTTCACCATTTTGGATCAGTTGTCTCATCTACCTTTGTAGAATGTTTTTCACCAACCCTCTGTTTGCTTCTATTTACTTTATCTGCATGTTTTGCAAGGTCTTATTTAGAAAGCAGTGAAATGTATACAGATTGCCAACTTCCTGACCTTATTTGTATACAAAATACTTTTTACCTATAGTTTGTTTGTTTTTATCAAAGTGTAAGAAACAAGGAACAATTATACATGTAGTTGCTTTATTCTATTATCATGGTGGTGTTATTTTTTGAGTTGGAGTCTCACTCTGTCACCCAGACTGGAGTGCAGTGGTTGCTCTCGGCCACCGCAGCCTTGACCTACTGGGCTCCAGCGATCCTTCTGCCTCAGCCTTCCAAGTAGCTGGAACTATAGGCGCGTGCTACCACACCCGGCTAATTTTTTGATTTATTGTAGAGATGAGGTCTCGCCAATTGTCCAGGCGGGTCTCGAACCCGTGGGCTCAGGCAATCCACTCACCTCAGCTTCCCAAGGCATGGGATATGGTGATGTTACTAATGCCACATTTAGCTGTGCTCGACGGCTCAGTCTGTAATCCCAGCACTTTGGGAAGCCAAAGCGAGTGGAATGCCTGAGCTCCTGGGTTCGGGAACAGCCCAGGCAACATGGAGAGACCTCGTCCCTATGATAAAAAAAACAACAAAAAAATAGCACCACATTTAAAAACATTAAGGACTTTTTTTTAAAGTTCTACCCTAACAAGATTTTGAAAGAATTTATCTCTTCTTTCCTAGAAAATGACAAAGTTGATGATCATCTTCAGGGTTCCTTGGAAAAGCAAAGAATACGGGAAAGTATGGAACAATACCATGCGTATAATGCATTTGGAAATATTGTCCCTCAAACCAAAAGTCATCCTTTCAGGGAAAATCATGCTATGTTTCAGTTATACATAAAAACTTTGAAATCAAATTTAAGTTTAGTCAACCAGAACAAAAGTTATAAAATTAAGAACTCCACCAAATGTAATGGAGATGTGAAATCATTTTGTCATGGGAAGTGTGAAAAATTGCATGCCACAGTTAAACCCTCTGTAAATACAGAACCCATTAGCATTAAATCCCAAGTCATTAAGCATCAGATAACTCATAAAACAGAGAAAACCCACATATGCAGTGAATGTGGAAAGGCATTTGCCAAGAAGTCTCAGCTCACTGATCATGAGAGAGTTCATACAGGTGAAAAACCTTATGGATGCAGTTTTTGTGCTAAAGTATTCTCCAGAAAGTCCAAGCTCAATGAGCATGAGAGAATTCATAAAAGAGAGAAATCGTTTATATGCAGTGAATGTGGAAAGATCTTCACTGTGAAGAACCGTCTTATTGAACATCAGCGAACCCATACAGGAGAGAAACCCTATGTATGCAATGAATGTGGAAAAGGCTTCACTGGCAAGCGTAATCTCATTGTACATCAGCGGAATCATACTGGAGAGAAATTATATGTATGTAGTGAATGTGGAAAAGGCTTCACTGGAAAGAGCCTGCTTATCATACATGAGCGAACTCATACGGGGGAGAAACCCTATATCTGTAGTGAATGTGGGAAGGGTTTCACCACGAAGCACTATGCCACCATACATCAACGAAATCATACAGGAGAGAAACCATATATATGCAATGAATGTGGGAAAGGCTTTACCACGAAAAGCCGAATAATTGAACATAAGCGAACTCACACGGGAGAGAAACCCTATGTCTGCAGTGAATGTGGAAAAGGCTTTCCTAGGAAGAGTCATCTCGTTGTACATCAGAGAAATCATACAGTAGACAAGTCATATCTATGTAGTGAATGTGGAAAAGGCTTTGCCATTAAGAGCATGCTCATCATACATCAGCGAACTCACACTGGAGAGAAACCTTACATATGCAATGAATGTGGGAAAGGCTTCCCCTTGAAGAATACACTGGTTGTACATCAGCGAACTCATACTGGAGAGAAACCATATAGATGCAATGAATGTGGGAAAGGTTTCATCGTGAGTAGTGGATTGATGTTACATCAGCGAACTCACACTGGAGAGAAACCCTATAGATGCAATGAATGTGGAAAAGATTTTGCCTATAAGAGTGCTCTTGTTGCACACCAGCGAACTCATACTGGAGAGAAACCCTTCAAGTGCAGTGAATGTGGAAAAGGCTTTACCCTGAAACGCTATCTAATTAGACATCAGCAAATTCATACAGAAGAGAAATCTTATATATGTAGTAAATGTGAAAAAGCCTTTGCCAAGGAAACTGAACTCATTTTACATAATCAAATTCATACTGGAGAAAAACCCTATGCATGCAATGAATGTGGTAAAGGCTTCAGTGTGAAAAGCTATCTAGTTGTTCATCAGCGAACTCATACAGGAGAGAAACCCTTCATATGCGGTGAATGTGGAAAACGCTTCTCCTCAAAGAGAAATCTTACTGTACATCAGCGAACTTATAAGGGACACAAACCCTGACTGCAATAAACATGGTTATGCCTTCAGGAAAAAAGTATGTCTTGTACAACATCAGAGATTTCACAGAGGGTGGACTTTAGATGTACTGAGTGTGGAAAATTCTTTTCCAACATTGTCTCATCTCACTGCATTACTGTATGCATTCAATAACATGAATTCAGGCAGTGAATTATTTGATGCACCCAATGTATATCAAATAACTCATATGAGAGAGCTGTATGGGTTCAGTGATTGGAGGTCATCTTTCATGTGTTAACCTTCTTAAAACTATGACATTGTACACAAGAGAAATGTATTAAGGTACATAATCCTTTGCAGAGAATCTGAACGGATCACACACAGGTGAATTCGGACCAAACCAGTGAGTATTGTGAATCCCAGGGTGCTCCTATAATATGTGGATATAGTCAGCGTAGAGCAGACTGCTGCTAGATTTTCACTGTTGGGAGATTATGCAGTTTGCACAAGAGTTAATTTAATGCATTCAGAAAATGTGTTAGTGCCTTCAGTGATCAGTTACCTCAAATTGTATGTCAACATAAACGTGTAGGAAAAAAGCATGATACAGCCAATGCAGCAAAGTCTTGAAAAATTTCTAAGCAATTGTACATATTGAAAAGCGTATACTGAGATAAATCTTATACATGGGCAGACTAGAAAAGCCTGCTGTGAAAAGAAAAACCCTATCCCATCAATGATCATGATAGATCATCAGTGAGCTCACACATATTAGCAGCATAATGATCATGGGATAGCCTTTGCCCAGTAATAAAACCTTAATAGTTGATGCATATTTCATGTTGGAGAAAAAATTTCAGATTGCAATAAATATGGTAGGATTTTAGTGATATATTTTGCCTCATCATGCATCATTATCTCAATCACAAAAAGTATGAATACACTAAATGAAGAGTAAGTTTGGTAAAGTATCAGAATTCCTTAAGTAACGAAGTCTTATGAAAATTATGTATATTTGAGGGCTGTCATAAATCTAAACTCAACATATACCTGATGTCCATTTTGGGACAGGATACCTTTCACCATATTCTCAATGATGCCATAGTTTTAAACTGGGATTTTCTCATTACTGATTAAATTTTAATGTTGTAGGTGTTTTCCGTGCCTGCTTGTATCGTTATGTGATTTGTTCTTGCATATTATTATCTCTAAATTTATTTCACTCAGGCTATTAAATTAATAAATGTAATTCAGTATTCTTGGATGTGTTTACGCGTTACTGTGTAGCAAATAGTTTACAAATATACTTCAAATATGATTTTTCTAAAATGTTTCAGAATAATTTTAGGTTCACAAGAAATTTCTTACACAACCATAAAACAAATTACATTTGGACTTCACTAGCTTTTGTGTGCACTAATTAGTGTGTTTTGTTTGTTTATTTTTGTCTAGAGTTCTAAAAGGTTTTGTAACGTGTATAGATTCATTTAATAGTCCCCACTGTCAGAATGCAGAACTGTTGTACCATCAGAAACATCCCTTTGCTACCCCTTATACCCACACCCTCCCCCACAACATGACACAAGGTAATCACTATCCCATCACTCTACTTTATAATTTCAAGATGCTATTAAAATGGAATCATAAGGTATGTAATCTTGAAGGTAGACTTTTATTTACTCAGTAAATTGCCCTTAAGAACTAGTTGTTGGGCGTCCAAATAGTCTTACTATTTTGTTACTGAGTTAGCATTCTTTTGTATGGATGCCTCATGGTTTATGTACCCATTTACTGTTGATGGGCATTTAAATTGTTTCCAGTGTTTTTCTGTTATACATAAAGATGCTACAAATGTGTGTGTACCTGGTTTTGTGTGAACATAGCTTTTCTTTCCTCTGGAATAGACAACCAGGAACATGACTGCTGGATCATATGGTAAGTTTATGTTTAACTTTATAAGAAACTGCCAAGCTTTTTCAGAGCGAGTGTACTGAGTTACAATCCCACCATCAATATATAAGCACTGTATTTGCTCCATGCCCTTTCTAGCATTTGGCACTGTCAGTATATTTAGCTTTTTTATCAGGTGTGTGGTGGTATATAATCATGGCCTTAACAGATATTATGTTCAACATCTCAACATCCACTGAGAACCATATTAAGCAAAGCTGTAATTCTTGCTGCTTGCCAGCAAACAATGTTAAAAATTCAATAGCCTTTTATATTTGATAATATGTTTACCTTTTCTGTTCCTCTTTCTTCATTTCTGGTGTTATGTTTCCTTGTTTTATTTCCTTGTATCAGAACTTCCTTTATCAATTCTTTTTGAGTAGGCCTGCTGGGAACAAATTATTTTCCTAGGAATAGGATTCTTGTTCTCTTTTCTCTATTTAGAGTCATTTCCCTTGATCTAACAAAAGTCCTCCAGCTTATAAATGGTGAATCCTTTTCATAATAGAAGTGGATATCTGCCGTGTTTTGTTCTGGAATCAAAAGACAAAACAGGCAAAGTGATGGCCTTGATAGACAATAGCATCTAGGGAAGAAAACTGAGTAAAATAAATACAAGATAGAATTGAGTTTGGGTAAGTGCTAAGAAGAAACAAAGTCTAATGAATTCATCAATTACAATCAAAGAGCTATTTTTAAAGCATGAGTTTTCAGAGAAGACTTCTAGGCAAATGTAATGTGAGCCAAGATTGAAGTGTACTGACAGAAGACAGCCGTCATATTTGTAAGCCTACAGTACTAGAGGTCTGGATCTAATTATTTTCCCTGGGTTTCCTGTCTCAAATTCTCTGAGATACTTAGGAAAGAAGGCAAAATCTTGGGTCACTCCCCAGATCTAAACTAGGCCCTCTGTGGCTTGGGTCCAGGACTCTGCATTTATGAGAAGTGGTTTCTGATAAATACTTAAGTTTGAAGACCTCTTCCCTAAATATTGGCTTCGTACTCCCATCACTACTTCCACACTGTAACAGAATGGATTCTCTGTAGATACTCCCCAGCAGTGAATCAGACACAAGTGATCCCCCAAGCAAGATCTCAAGTACCCTCCCTTCTTGTCCTTTTGTGAGTCTATATCCTACCATGGCAAGGTCACATCAGTTCACTCCTAGAACTGATCATTGAGGGTCCCAGGATGTGCTGACCTGTGGACCAGGTGCTGAACTTATCTCCCACAACTTAACATTCCAGATAAATTGGGCTGAAATTTAATCCTGAAGGGCATATAATACTCTTAAGAAACATACAAGCCGGGTTCCGTGGCTCAGCCTGTAATCCCGCGCTTTGGGAGGCCGAGGTGAGTGGACTGCCTGAGCCCACGGGTTCGAGACCTGCCTGGGCAACTTGGCGAGACCTCATCTCTACAATAAATCAAAAAATCAGCTGGGCGTGGTAGTGCGCGCCTGTAATTCTGGCTACTTGGAAGGCTGAGGTGGAAGGATCGCCGGAGCCCAGCAGGTCGAGGCTGCAGTGGCCAGGAGCGGCCACTGCACTCCAGTCTGGGCGACAGAGTGAGACTCCAACTCAAAAAAGAAAGAAAGAAAGAAAGAAACACAAACATATTCTTAAAGGTATCAAAATTACAAAACAAAATGAAAAACATTTAAATACCCATTATTGTAAAAACCAGTCAAATATTGTTAGCAATATATTCCCCCAAACTTTTATGCATGAGTGCGTTTATTTTATGAAAAAACAGACTTTCATATTTACCATGAACTTCTATATCCTTATTCTATAATTATATAAAAAATCAACATGTTTTATAATATGGTCATTTGATATTATGATACAAAGGTAGTAACATCGAGAAGTGAAAAAATTGGTGACATTTTCCAAGTAAAAACACGATATAGTCTACCCATGAACAAAACTAAACATTAAATGAAACTCAATGTTGTGTGGAATCAATCATAATTTTCAGCAAGATAAATATTTTTGAGTTATTCACACAATACTTACTGTTCTCCAGATTTTCTGCCTTCTATAGAATAGTTGTTTCCTTACTTATAAAGTAATTGCAATATGTCCTTTTTAATTGCTGTGTACTGTTATACTTGAGCAGATGTTTCAAAAATTACCAAAGTTTTCATCTATCATTGTATTCCTTTTATTTGATAAACTAAAAGCGGCTGCTGTGAGCTTTTGGAATTAGCATTGCTGGCTCAAAGAAAATGAAAAATTTTAATTGGCTCTAGGTTACCTTCCAAAAAGATAATATCTACTTAAATTCTCTACGATTACATATCCCACACCTGCAAAAATTTGAACAAACACTTTTAAGTGTCACTATTAGGGGATGAGAACTATATAAAGTATAATAATTGCATTCTCATTATTTCATACTATGAATTGCCCCGCTGTCGTCTCCTTTTGCTTTTGGAAGGAAGCATGTCCGTAGATTTGCACCATCACCTTCTCGTCTCCTTCCTCACTGAGTATCAAGTCCCACGTGGGTAACAGCGAAGGCCCCGTAGTGGGAGTCTAACTTACAAAAGCCTTACCCACTCCACAACCCCCGTCCTTTGCTTTTGTCAACTTTATGACCGCTTCCCCCCCAGCAGCACGTAAACTTCTCCATACCTTGTCTATCTTACAAAGCTGTCCCAGGTCTGGGCATCTTCCCTGCTTTACGGACACCGGCCTTCTTCCAAGATGGCCGCGCCCAAACAGGCTAGATCTCCGCCTCTGCCAAAAGGGGCGCCGCCATCATCCTTTTTTCCCCAGCCGACTGAATAGGAGGCTTATGTGCCGCGTGGACCTTGAATGGACAGCCGCCTAGTCGTGTTTTTCTCCTTGTGCGACTCCAGCCCCTGACCCTCTCTCCATCACCGTCTAGTCCGAGAACAGCCGCCCGGACAGGGCCGTCCGTACGTCAGGCTTCCAAAGATGGCCGCCTCCCGGGCGCCCGGGCGGCGTCGGCGCGGACGTAACGCCGCCGAGGAAACGCCGGAAGCCCGCTCTCCGCTCTGCAAGGAAACGTGGCGGACCCTCTGTGGAGGTTTTCGGGAGGGGCGTGCGGGCGAGGCTCCGCGAAGTGGGAGAAGTTTAGCGAAGTGAGTTCGGGTCTTAAGGTTCTCTGCGGGTTCGAGAGGGAGTGAGGTCAGTGTGTGGGTGAGTCCGCGTAGAGGGCGGGGGTGGGCTTCCGAGGAGGGCGTCCAGTAGGGTCGTTGCTCGCGCGGGGCGGGTGGGCTTTTTGGAGGGGAGCGCGGAGGGGTCCTCGGCGGGAGAGTCTGTGATGGGGTGCCTTTGGGGTTCGGCCGCGAGCTCTGGCAGGCCGGCCGCCGAGAGTCCCGAGGTCGGGGGTCGGGGCCTTCGCGGGTCCCGCTGCCTGCGGGATTCAGTGGTGGCGCCGGTTGACGACTTCGGCTGCTGGTTGGGATTCTGGATGGATGCGGGGCTCCGAGACCCAGGAACCACGAAGGGTGTGTGGAGTCTGATCCAGGTTTTCGCGTGCAACGGGCGGGGGGGAAGGCTTGTGTGTGGAAACGAGTGAAAGCCGACGTGGGGGAGCCCTGGCTGGGCTGTGTGCGCGCGCGCGCGTCGGGCTGCTGCAACAGACTTGAACGCTCATGGTTAAAAGCTTCAGGTCAGAGTCACTCCTCCACGACGAACTTTCTAATCCTCTGGCTCCCCACAACCGCCAGCCCATCCTCTTGAGCCCACAGAAGTGAAAGTTTGGGGAGGGATGTATGATTCAGCATGCCTAAAACTAACAAACTGTCTTTTTAAGAGTCTGGGTTTTTGTTGTTGTAGTTGTTTTTGAATCGTAGTCTCTCTTTGTTGCCCAGGCTGGAGTGCAGGAGCATGCTCATGGCCACCGCAGCCTCGACCTGCTGGGCTCAGGCGATCCTGCTGCCTCAACCTTTCAAGTCGCTGGAAGTACAGGCGCGTGCTTCCATGGCCGGCTAATTTTTTGATTTATTGTAGCGATGAGGTCTTGCCACGTTGCCCAGACTGGTTTCAAGTCCCTGGACTCAGGCAGTTCTCTCCCCTCAGGCTCCCAAAGTGCTGGGATTATAGTTTTGAGCCACCACACGTGCTTTGTTTTTTATCATTCCTCTTGCAAATGTACTGCATATTTTTTTTATGGATGTTTCCTTTCAGGTTGTAAGTGAGTTTTATAACAGTAGCTGCTTTTCCTAGTATTTATATTTTTGAATTGCTTTTTAAAATTTGTATTTATACCTCATATTACTTCTCTCTGTTCTTTTCGGTGTGTTCATTGTTCCTCATATTGAAGTATGTGTTTGTGTGTGTATATACATCTTATTATTTATTTATTTAGAGAGTGGTCTTGCTATGTTGCCCATAGCAAACTCCTGATTTCAAGCAATCCTCCGGCCTTGGCCTTTCAGTGCTGGAATTATAGGCATGAGCACCATGTCCAGCCTATCCTTAAAAAGCATATATAAAGACTTTTAAAGAAGTATGAGGTCAGGATAGTTTAAAGGAAAAAAATTAGCTTCTCACCATCTATATGGCCTCATTTCTAAAATTGCTCTGAGAATTACCTGTCGCTGAGGAACGGTGCTATACTGATTTTCCTTGACCACCTTCCCTTTGACAACACACATCACAGAAGAAAGGCATTCTTCCCATACATAGAGTGTTTTTCATTGGCCAGGAAGGAACCAATTAAAGAACCAGAAGTAATTCAGGATCTGTGTTAAGATGAATATACAGCAAGAGTGTCTGTATTTCTACTGAAAGTTGTTTTGCTCTCCAACCCACAGGTCCTGGCTACCCTGGGAAGAGACAAGAAGTAAAAGAGGAGAAAGGTTCCAGGACCTATGTATCATTTCTGGGGATACCTTTGACTGATGACTGAGATTTCTGACTGAAAATTTAGGACATACTCAGAAGAGACAGAGGCAGAGTATCCCAGTTGTTGGTCATTTCCCACAACGGAAGAAAATGATCAGTGTTCAGGTGATGTTTGTCTGTTTTATTCTATCCTTTATTCCCTAATGGATTTGTAGCCCATACAAAATCATTTCAGAGTCTACAGAGAAATAAAATTTGAATCTAACTCCAATGACATAGCAAAGTAGGATCAGGGATATTGTGTTCATATCATTCCTATTAAATGACTGATGGAACATAATTGTCAGAGGATCCTTTCCATTACATTAGCTGTCAGCTTGCATCTGATGTTATGCAGTGACAGTGAGGGGAAAACAGACAGGTTCCTCAGGGAATGTCATTATTTCATGGCGGTTATGTCTCAAGACAACTGTGATATTCTTTTTTTTTTTTTGAGTTGCAGTCTCACTCTGTTGCCCAGACTAGAGTGTAGTGTCCACTCCCGGCCACCGCAGCCTCGACCTGCTGGGCTCCGGCAATCCTTCCATCTCAGCCTTCCGAGTAGCTGGAACTACAAGCATGTGCTACCACTCCTGGCTGATTTTTGATTTATTGTAGAGATGAGGTCTTGCCAAGTTGCCCAGGTGGGTCTCGAACCTGCGGGCTCAGGCCATCTACTCACCTCAGCCTCCCAAGATGCGAGATTACAGGTTGAGCCACCGAGTCCGGCTAAATGTGATATTCTTAACTGCTGTTTTGTTTTGTTTTTTGAGTCAGGGTTTGACTCTGCTGCCCAGGATGGAGTGCAGTGATGTGATCACAGCTCACCACAGCCTTAGCCTCTGGGTGAAGGTAATCTTCCTGCCTCATCCTCCCCAGTAGCTGGGATTGCTGGTGTGCACCACTATACCTGACTAACTTTTTTGGATTTTTGTAGAGATGAGGTCTCCCTGTGTTTCCCAGACTGGTCACAAACTCCTGGACTCAAGTAATCCTCCTGTCTCGGCCTCCCAAAGTGCTGGGATTACAGGCTTTAGCTACCATGCCTGGCAGACTGCTGTTTATTACAGGGTTCCTCAGAGACTCCTATGGAAACAGACAAAGCAAACTCAGTGGACACAACTTTTCATGAGACTAAAGCAAGGTCACTCAAAGGACTCAGCCTTGTATCTTAGCTGATCTAGGAATAAAGCCTAGGAAAATGGAAAGAGTACAGAGGTTTCGTTTGTCCTAAACAGGTGGCTAAACTGCCTTTAGGCACATACTTGGCATTAGGGAGTTGCGAGAAGTGTCTGGTAAGGGCTTGAGGTGTTGAGTGCCATGATGTTTGCTTGATAACTTTACCTCATCTCATAATATACAGAATCCTCCCCCATTTTCAAGTATAGATCTTACTTACTTTTATTTTATTGCTTTTATTTTTTGTAATCAAATTACTCATGGATTTTAAAGGAAAAAAATTCTAATGACAATGTACACATTGGCAATAAAAAATAAAATTTCCTCTTTATAACTTTCTAATCTCATGCTGTTTCAACAAATGTTTCATAGTATATACCTGCTGTCACTGAACTGTGTGTACATTTATGTATCTGTGTATTATGTGTATTCACATATATGTGTACATAAGCATATTTATCATTTCTTTGTACTTCATTCAGATCATACTCTAAAGAACATATCTGTTGGCCATCTTAACATCTAAAGGAATATGGACTGCAATTAAGTGAAGAATACTAATTATATAAAATTCCAGTTGTCTAAAGTCATACTTGAAAACATTAGTTAAATGGTACAAAGTATTTAAATGAGTGCTTGTTGCATAGTGACTGATATGTGGGATCATTTATGCCAATATTTTAAAATACGACATTATTAAACTACATAATTTTCAGTGATCCAGTATTTTTTTAATCTCATTTTATATCTTCGTCATCATGGGTGAGGTAAAAAATCCTTCATATTTTCTGTTATTTTGTGTCACCACTTCGTTTTTCAGTTTTTTAAAAAAATGTATATTCCAGTTCATTAATTACCTCTTCTGTATATCTGATAACCTTTCCGTTAATGTATATGCATACATGTGTCTGTATACATAGACATATATTTAAACATACTTGTAAATATTCACATGTGTACATATATTTAATACATATTTCAAATATAATTTTTCCCAATTTGACTAATCTTCAGTAGTTTCTTGTGCTTTCTACTTTTATAATTCATTAAATAATCAAACACTATTTTAAAATTCATTATATAATCACTTATGTAGTGTTCTGTGATTCTAACATCTGAAGTCTCTTCATGTTTTAGCCGAGTATTAACTGGGAAGGCTTACAGTGAGTGTAGCAATCTATACTATCTGGATGTCACTAGCATATAATTTCTTGACTAGTCAGTAGATACTGAAGTTAAAAATTATATATAAAGTCTTTTTTATTGAGAGAATTTGATATAAAACTTTATACTTTGTTGAGTGAATGGGGCACTGCATACTTACAGAATACTTAGACTCAATGACAGTATTAAAAAACACAATAGGCTCATAGATGCATTTAGTCTATATGGTTAATATGAACAGGACAACTTCCTTTAATTTCCTTGTATGTCACTAAAAGAAAAACACTTCATATTCAGCAGGGCTATGTTTTTACAGGAGTTGCTGACATTGGAGGATGTGTCTGTGGAATTCACTTCGGCAGAGTGGCAGCTTTTGGACCCTGCCCAGAAGGACCTTTACCGAGATGTGATGTTAGAAAACTACAGAAATCTGGTGTCAGTAGGTAAGGACAGCTACCCTGTGTCACTGGAAGGTACCTCATCGATGGCCTGTTTTCTTAACTGCTTACACTTGGAAGTCACTTCAGTGCTCCCAATAAATTTTTAGTGCATTCTCTGGCTCCTGATAAAAGGATATACAGTCACCCATTGGTATCTGAGGGTAATTGGTCCCATGACGTTCCACGGGTACAAAATCTAGTGCTCAAATCTCTTAAACAGAATGCCATGCTGCGCAG